TTTCAACGACCCTAATAGCAATTTTCTAGTACCAAAGGATAGAACTGTCCTAGATCGGACCAAAGGGTAGAGGCGAATAGGCCCTATATCCTTTGGTACTAGTGCGGCGTGATTGCGTATATGGGCAGTATTCCGTGCGTTGACAAGGGGAGGTTACAAGTCGTCATCGAAATCGATGTCGAACACACACACACACACACACACAAGCCCTCCCCCATCCAAGAAAAAACCTACGCGCACGCACGCCTCGTACTTTTGCCCTTCCCCCCAAATACGGTTTCCAGAGAGATTTTAGTTCACCGTTCGAGAAAGCAGTCAGACAGCAAGTAAAAAACTACGTCTACACATTCGGCTTAACCGAGCCTGCTCACAGTGCACTTGATGCACGTAGTCGCCCCGTACACCCTACCCCTCCCCTATTAGAATGCATTCAGTCTGATCTGAACACTGGTTCTTCGCCCTAGGCATTAGCCGGCAAAAGTCGCCAAAACAAGACACCGACCAAGGGGCGCCGTATTTGGGAGGGAGGGGGAGGGGCAAACGTACGAGGCGTGCGTGCGCGTATGGTGTTTTTTGGGTGGGGAAGGGGGGCTTGTGTGTGTGTTCGACCATCGATTTCGATGACGGCTTGTAACCTACCTCCCCCTCAGCGCACGGAATACCGCTCATATACGCAATCACGCCGCACTAGTACCAAAGGATATAAGGGTCTATTCGCCTCTACGCTTAGGTGCGATCTAGGACCATTCTATCCTTTGGTAATAGAACATTGCTATTAGGATATATTTTAATATGCATGATTTGTTGAGGTTGCGGCAATATCTGGCAACGTCTCATCTTTAAAAATAAGCATTCACTGTCAGTATTTTTGATGTCTATAATAATTAGTGTTCATAATTATCTTCGACTTCAGAAAGTGGAGATTGATCTGACTTGGCAACTATTCGAAATGCACAAATACAAAATTCAAAAGGTGATATCGCGATCTGATGGCAAACCGCGAAGTATTCTTATACAATGCGAAATTGGCAGAACAAGCTGAAAGATACGAAGGTATTATCAAAATATTTAGTGACACAGCTAGAGATGGTTGGATTTATGGATTCCATTTCAAAATTAGGAGTTGAACTCACCTCTGAAGAAAGGAATTTGTTTTCGATAGGTTACAAAAATTTCATGGGCGCAAAGCGGCTTGCGTGGCGTGCGATCGCTCTAGATGTTGAGCAAGCAGAGAGAAGGGCTGCTCGTGAAGTTCCTTGTTTAAGACGTTTCAAAGATGTAATCGAAGAAGAAATGCGCCAACTTGCTCACAAGCTTATTCATTTAATTGATACGTCATTATTCAAGCCAGAACTAGAAGGCGAACCAAAGGCTTTTTACCTAAAATTGTAATTCT